TGTTAAGTATTCAAAAATAGTCATGATTTTGAAATAAGAGTGTGCCGTGGCTTCTATGCTGTAAGCAAAGTGATAAACTGAATTGCCAGTGAATGCATAAAACTGGAGTTTATAAATACTGCATATCACCCATATTGATGGCAAATGGCCTGTTTGTACTTGAGCTCACCAGAAGTGAATCATCAATCCAGACAGTATTCAAAACAATTACACACATCACCTTCAAGTTGTAAAAGAATCTGTGTTCCCCAGCCAGCTCTCTAACACTACAATAGACGGTTTTAGGGAACATCTGCTTGCCAAGTTGCCGTTTGTTACAGTACTTCCTCACTCTGAGCAAAATCTGCTGCTGTCTGCACTTACACTAACAGGCTTGAGCAGAGCGGCACTATTATCTGGCTCAGGAACAAGCAGGTTCATCCTGCAATGTAATGTAGCAGGTTCATTCCAGAGGTCACCAGATGTTCTGATAAGTCATCTGAGGCACAGGACTTCATTATTCAGCTCAGCTGTGTGTGTGTGTGTGTGTGTGTGTGTGTGTGTGTAACCCTGCATGCTGTGTTTAGTGGTATTAGTCAACGCGTTCTCATCCTTTAACGTCATATAGAACGCTATATGACAAAACGGCGCTATACTACGCGCATGGCACACGTTATCGTTAATATAACACGCGCTGTGAGGGCTAAGTTTAGGTGTGGGGTAGGGTGTGCGTGTCACATTCACGCTAAAGGATTTATAACGTCTTGGGTTCGCGTGTTATATTAACGATAAAGGGTGCCTAATGCGTAGTATAGCGCCGTTTTTGCGTATAGCGCCGTTTTTGCATATAGCGTTCTATATGACGTTAAAGGATTAGTTGCGGATTTGAGCTGGATTGTATTATGTTGATTCCGACAAACTAAATAGTTAATATGTAAGGGATAACGTGTATGCAGCTGATATACTGTAAACTGACCAGGTCTTGTGTACCAGCTGAAAAGGTTTATTTTGCAATAATGACCTGCTGACTATTTTTTAGCTTGCTTATTTTTAATTTACTTTCCAGATAAATTAAGAAATGGGCATAAAATGTTAATTTGCGATTATTATTTTATTATGTGATGAGAAATAAATGTTGATGATACTAGAGGCATGAAACTACGAAGCAATGAAGGAAATTGGTCAATTATGATGTTTAGTCATTATTATATTAAGAATGCCACATTTGAAAAATCAGAATCAAGGGATAAACTTTTTTAATTACTTAAACTAATGTAATGATGACTGATTAGTGGTTACATAATAAGTACAATTATGTAAAAACAGAAATAATGCATAAGAAATAATTCAGATTAGTACTATAGGTCACAAATCAAACATCATGCACATATTAACGAGATCATCCTCCATGTAAACAGCATGCACGTTTCCTAAATTAAGTATCTTGTGAACTTTACTTTGTGAAACTAATAAAATATTGTTTATTTGCAGGGATTTAAATGGATAGTTCTACCCCAAATGAAAATTCTGTCAGTAATTACTCACCCTCATGTTGTTCCAACCCCGTAAGACTTTCGTTCATCTCCGGAACACAAATTAAGATATTTTTGTATGATATTTTATGATAAGCCTATGATCCAGCTCTCAGGTTTAATAAAAAAATATCTTAATGTTCCGAAGATGAACGAAAGTCATGGGGTTGGAACAACATGATGGTGAGTGATTACTGACAGAATTTTCATTTTGAGGTGAACTATCCCTTTTAATGCATATAGACAGACCTGAGACCCATTAAAGGAATTTTATAGGGTATAATTGGAGAAGAATAAACATTTAAGATTCTGTATTACAGGTCACATATCAAACTATTGCCTTTTGGACCCCTTGATACATGTGAACCATGGTTTGTTTAAAAAATCTTTGAGCGATAAGACAATCCGATCTCTTATATTGCAACACTGTTTTCCTGGTGAGCTTCTCATTTGGTGTGTCAATGTAAAGCTCTGTGGTTGATGTACTGTTGCCAAGGTCTTGGTCTGAGTCATTGCATGGTCATTGTTCAGGGGCCAATCCCCTGGCCTTCTGTCTCTTTCTCTCAAATGCCACTAAAAAGCTAGGCTGACATTAAACAAATAGATCAATACTGCCCATAAAGACTGTTTAAAGGAAAAATATACTCTTTTATCAAAGCTGAATATGAAGTGATGACTGCAGAGACTCACAGACCTTTCAGCAGCTGACTTATTTGGTGTTACAGGAAGTCTATCTCTCCTGCTTGAAAAAAAAAAAAAAACCTACTCAACGTGGTTTTATGGTCTCCAAAGATGGTCTTGTTTGCTGGTTTTAGAGGGGTTTTAAGCTCTGGACGAAAAACTATAGCTGAACACTTGTTTGGCCTGGCTTGGGAGACCCGCTAAATTATTGTAAACCAGCATGGTTTAAAGTGTTTCTTTTTTTTTGCAGGATCCTAGACTTATTCAGCGAGAGATGGATTATGTGCTGATATTTTTGTAAATGAACTGTTTGGGGGAAAAAAGATGTGTAAAAACACAAGGCTTAGATCGGCTAATAACCAGTTTAGACCTTCAATCATGTTCCAAAACACAGCAATCCAGCCTAAGCTGGATTTTACAGCAAGGAATCCACTTACATAGTTGAACTCTCGCAAATAATTTGAGCATAAACACAAATATGTAAGCTGAGTGTGTGCGGTTCGCCAAGAATGCATCAGAGATCGGCCCATTGCCTGACCCTCTGCTTTATTGGGTCGCTTTCACACGCAATGGACCCTGCACCTGATGAACGCGCCAACGCTCATCAGTTATCTGATGTAACTCTGAGAGGAATATTTGAGGGAATCTGGGAGATTTATTATCAGACGAATAGCACACTGTTATTGTAATTTAGGAGAATCACTGTAAACAACCTCTAAATGGCTCCTTTGTCCTCAGTTTTATTGAGAAGCAAATAATCAGCTCCATGGAAACTTCTCTAATGCAAACCTGCAGTTTATTATATTTGTTTCTATGAAGCAAATGATGTTACCAACCTTGACTAGCACACAGGATACAACCTTTTATACTTCAGACTGAGAAGGCAATTATTAAGATACAGTGTTTCATTGTGGTTTCAAGTGTTTTTTTGTGTACTCTTCCCTTCCACTCCTAATTTTACAGTGTCTTAAGAGCTACACAAGGTCATATGATGCAATAGAAAGTATGATGGAATCTTCTGCTGGTGGGGATTATAGGTGCACGCATGGCTGATGATGGCAGTGAAGCAGCCTCTCACTGAGCTGACCCTATTATCCATGCACCAATGTACTGGAGAGTGACAGCTGAAACCCAGCAAAAATAGCACCTATATTTTCAGCATCATTTCTGCTGCTCTCCTCCTAAACATTTACCTTGAAATGCAGATCCATCATTCAGATGTTATTGGTAGTGTCACAGAGCAGGTAAACTTCATTACAGGGCTCCTCTTCAAGGTTTTCGAAACAGCTGTGTGCCTCTCGATGATTTTCACTTTTTTCAGTGAAAGTGTTCTCTGGCCTTCAAGGTCCACTTTTATGGAGCTAGAATTGTGTCTTTATTACATGCGAGAAAATAAATGATCTGAGAGGGAAAAAAAAATCTGAGAGGAAAAGTTATCACACTGATACCCAAAAAGCATTTCATGAGAGAAAAAAAGTATTTGAGAGAGAATTTTTTTTCATACCAATAGCAAAAAAGAATAATATTTGAGACTAAAAAGCTTTTTAGAGAAAGTATTTTCTCAAAGAACATAACAAATATAATTTTTTTTTAATTATTTCTGAAAAAAAAAAAGGATTTTTCATGGGTCATGGGCAGGGCCACGTTCCTATTGGCCGCTCGGGTGAGCATCGACTTGTCTTGGGAGTCGAACTCAATTATTACACCATTGTTCGGTTCACCTAGATAGATGTCGCCTCTGCTTTAGATTCTCTGCCCGAGCCCGAACTTGACCCGACCCGGCCCGCCGATATTTCCCGTCACTATCCTTGGGCCGGGACTTTGATCTAGAGACGTGCACTCCCAACGCAATAAAGTGTGATTTGGCCCAAATAGGACTATAATACATTGAGAATCTATCGTTAGCATTTCCATTCATGTCACTGCCAGTTGCTCAGCAAATACTGGGCCCAACAGAAGTACTTAAAATCAAACTTTTTTCATTTCCTAGTAACCTTGTATTGTTCTAGATCACGGATCTATAGACTATGCCCAATTTCACATTGAAATGCACAGACACACCTGTACCCGCCACCATACACACACACAAATGCAGGCTCACGCACACAAAGAACCGTAGATTCTAACTCAAGACAATACGCAAAGCATCACAAACACCCACACACATATAACATTATTAACACTATTGGGATTCACTCCTCCCTGCCCATTACACCCCTCTTCCCTGGCACCATGTCTTCATTGACCTTCTCAAGCTGTTCGTTGGACTTTCACGTTCTTATTGACCGCAGGCTGTCTGCCACTGACTGTCAGCATGAATTTGTCATCAACAGTGGACATCAGTGAGCAATCTGACAATTACTCACTGGCCCCACGCGCCTTTTCTCCCTTATAGGCATGATATCATCTCCACAGTGCAATGGTGTGCCGCTAGCGTACAGGCGAGCAACAGTCAGTCATTTTGTCAGTAGGAATGGTCTATGGCAAACTAAAAGTATAATAAGTCGTTTTTAAATTTGTGGATATTTCAAGCAGTGGAATCTAATTCCCAGTAGGCATTTGCTGTAAATATTTAGCCACAATAAGCCCCCATGAGACTTCACAGCAATCCATAAATATGCATATGAAATGAAAGCCTTACAAGATGAAAGCTGACACCTTTAAGTAATAGACTATCTTGAGAATAATATTGTGATGAATCATTGAGACGAAAGAGATTGAAGCTTTGAAGGCTGTGACGTGGTTAAACAACTGAAATGTTCTCTGTTTATCTCTCTCTCTCTCTCTCTCTCTCTCTCTCTTTTGCAGGTTTGTGCTGTTCAGATGTGTGACGTGGTAAATGAGATTGAGCTGGCAAGAGCGAGGTGTGAGAATAAAACAGCAGGAAACGTCACATCAGGTGATGTTTACAGTATAATTTCGCTTTTTTTGCCATTTTCACAGACAATGAACCATTGATGAGGGAAAATAGATGTAACAGGAGATCACAGAGACATGTTTGGTGCTGAAATAGAACAAAAACAGAAAATGATTTGCAATCTAATCTGTAAACATTTCTTTTTTCTTATCTTTCATCTTTCAACAAATCAACTTCGATAATTAATGTGGTTCAGATAACATAATATTTAGAGGTTCTGTTTATTAAACCAATCTCCATTGTATTAAGTGAATATTTTAATTTCAGTTAACTCAAATTTTAAGGCAACCAGGTAACTTACTTTTTTAAGTTAAACCAACAATAATATTTTGTAGTGTGTGAAGACATGACCAGAACAAAGGTAGGAGACACTGCTTGCAGTCAGTGAAATCTTTATTGACTTCCAAATAAAGAATATCAAATAAAAACCCATAAACAAAAAACCACTCAAGGTGACCCTCCTCCTCCTAACAGACAAACAAACTTTCCTTTTATACTGAAAGGGTCAACCGTTTGACAGTAATAGGGAAGTTAAATAATGTTCACATACATAACTACACTGAAAATGAAAATAATATTAAAAATACATCAACCTTAATTATACAAGTAAAATAATACAAATAATAAACAAATACAACGTACTATGAACATAAACAGAATAAAACATGAAACAATAACCCCCTGCTCCCATTGAGAAATGGACTATGCCTACACTACCCAGAATTCCTTGGGATGTCATAAAATAAGGAACAGGAAGGCCGCCCGTCCTCTTAAACACCCACCCCCGGAAACATGCTGCAGACGTGAACCCCAGAAGGTTAGTTTTGCAAATGAGGATAAAACTAATGATTTATGTAAATACCAAAATAAAAGAAATCAAGAAATAAATTTCTTGGTGTTTTTTAGCAGTCTAATGTGCACCTCAGACTACAAAAAGTCACCAAATAATGAGAAACAAACATTTGTAAAAAGAATATAAACCAAACCGACACGGGCCTACACCATCAGGGTTGACTTAGGACTTTGTCACATAGTGTAAAACTGATAATTTGTTTCATTGGAAAATATAACAAAAAAGTAAATAATAAATAAGAATTATCTATTTTGTAAATAGAAAATAAATAAATAAAAACAACAATGGAAAATGCTTCATCCAGTAGGAGTATTGTTTGAAAAGTCAAAAAATGAACTGTTGTCAAAGGCTGATTACCAATATCCTCATCAATGAGACACATCATGCCTCCAGTGTTCTGATTCAGTATTTCAGTTTCCAGCAAAGGGTCCGGGTACCAGTGCTTCGTTCATAGATATCATGCACAATTATACGGAAGCTCCTTTGAGGTATGAAGTGGCTTATCCTCCACTGACTCTCTTTTTAGGTTGTCGAGGTGAACTGGCAATCAGGCATGAAAGACAATTTTTTTTGAAGTGGAAGAAAAGTCAGACCCCCATCATGGATAGAAAGTGGAATGAATGAAAGGATCTCTTGTGCCCAAAAGTATTTCATGTAACTGTTTGAAGTGAAAGCCCTGTAGTGTGTATTGTGCATTGTTCTAAAATAGACTTTGGATGGACTTTTATATTTTTAGATAAAACACATTTCAGCATTCCCAGCTAATTGATTGATTGATTGAGGTATTGGGGTTCAAGGATGAATATCTTGGTGGCTAATTAATCTAAAGGGAAATTTTAAACAATCCATGTAAATCTTTAAATGTCTGCGGTGACTTTTTGGTAGTTATTATTTAAGTTATGGATTCTTAGATATAGATGTAGTAAGATGAAATTAACAACGACATTAATTAATTTGGTGTAATGCGGGTGTAATTGGCATGGTACAAAAAATACTATTCATTTTCATCAGAAATTTAATCTAAAGTTTGTACATTGTGATCTCTGGAAAACTGGAATTTATAGTTGGTGTCATTCAGTAACCACTTATTTGCAAAGAGACATACTGTAAACTGGTACAAGAGTTTATCCATCTGTAGACAACTAACACACATTCAACAACACTATTTGAAATTGAGCTAACTTTTTCACACTTTTTTCAGATTTCGATTTAAACTAAAATCCTGAGAGGATTGAATTTACATGTCTACAATCTGTGCTGACCTGCCCTTACATCCATATACCTAGTGCCTGAATGAGGTGGATTTTTAAACAGGCCGCTTGGCTCTGGAACGTTTCTCTGTGGCTCGGAGAGGACTAATAAGATAAACTACCTGTCAGTTTTCCACATTTACAGTCACAAACCAACTCACCTCGCCTCATGAATCAGACGGATGCATTCGGAGGGCATGAGGAGCATCGTAAATATTCAAAATATTACGGGTAAAGCAATAAGCTGATACCTTATCTCGGTTTATTGTGCTCACAGGTGTCCAACTGAGAGATTAGGGTGGTGTGAATTTCAGAGTCTCCATGTTACTTTTAAATAAATGGTTTATTCTACATTTATTCGCTTTAGCATTCAGTATTTCACTTAGTTCCCTGATCATTCCAATTTCATTTCAGCAAGGGAAGAACAAATGCATACTCAAATTATGTATTATGCATGTTATACACCGCTCAGGCCGCCATTTCCACTTCTCGGAAAGCGATGAAATGGTCAAAACATCTAGTGGCGTGGGTTTTCCAGAAAAATCCATGTACTCCCTGGACCTCTGCTTCTCGTAAATACTATACCGTGTATTGTGCTCGTTATTTTTTTTTGACAGACATTGTACAACAGATGTATCGTACTCTTATTTCTTTCTTAGCCAGAAAGTATTCAGTGAAATATCAGCACTTGTGGAAGGCTCTGAATCCTTCAAGGACCAAAACTAACTCATTTATATAAGACATACACTTACAGTAAAACCTAATTGTGTTTTTTTGCCTTTATACAACAGGGTTATACTGAGTTAATGCTGTACTTTATTCTTTTGCCAGGCTGCAAAGGAATGTGGGATATTATTGCTTGCTGGCCATCAGCCAAAGTTGGGGAACATGTGGTTATTCCTTGTCCAAATTACTTCAGACACTTCTCTGATCATCATGATGGTAAGTTGAAATCACTATCAAAACCTTTGATGAACTTCAAGGCATTAAGCAATAGTTGTAACTCCTAAAGAAAAGTGTGAAGTGTCTTTTGTTATCTTGTCAGTCGCTGTCATGGGCTGTCACATTGCTTCAAAACTAAAGTTTAGAGGCACTTCAGTTCAGTACTCCCACACACTGACTGGAGTAGTTTCTTTGATATCAGACTTCTCAAGGAAAACTGGTGTGAAAAAATAATAAAAAAAAAAAAAAATCTAGCTAGCAAATTTTTTTGTGGTGTGTTGTCCTGAATGTACAAGTGATTGACAATTAATAAATGTTTGTAGAATTCATAGAATGATGAAAAGAATTTTGTTATTTCAGACTTTGAACTATGTATAGACAATGGACTCTGTACACTCTAAAAATGCTGGGTTGTTTCAACCCAAATTTGGGTCCAATATGGACAAACCCAAATGTTGGGTTAAAAATTTAATTTAAAATTTTAACCCAACTTCAACTTTCACTTTCAATTGTAATTTTTTTTAATTACATTTTTAACCCAACATTTGGGTTTGTCCATATTTGACCCAAATTTGGGTTGAAACAACACAGCATTTTTAGAGTGAAAATAGGGGAGAGCGGGGCACAACCTAACACATTTTGGTTTTGGCTCAATTAAAAATGAAAATGTTTAATTTAGAATGATTAAGTTAGATTCAACTTTTTTTTACACAAGCAACATACACATCTCTGCTACAAATGAACCTCTATTCTACCGTTTTTGAACTGTTGCAAAAATGTGCAAATGTTACAACTATACCCCATATGCGTGGGTTAGTTGTAACAGACAGAGGGGTTAGTTGTAACACTTGTGTGTAACACACATAATTCAGTACTTCTGTGCATCTGTATAGATAGATATCCATACATCCATCCCTCATCCAGTCATCCTTCTATCATGGATCAAAATCATGGATAGAGATATGGGAAAGGGCTGTACAGTTTTGCAATAAATAATAATAAATAAAATCATAAAATATTGTTATTGCAATTGAATTAGATTTGTTTGGCTGCTGAATGTAAAATTATTATTATTAATAATAATAATAACAGTAATAATAATACAAATGAGCTTAAAATCCAAATTTTAAAGGGTTTATTGCATTAAAAACAGGTTTATTTTTAATAAATAAACAAGTGATCAATACATAGTAAACTAAATTTAAAACATTTTAAATTCCAACATTGTTTGTGAAAGTCCAACAAATTTAAATGTATAAATAATACTCTAACCTGAAAAGATGTGTGGCTCGCTGTTTTCATTTGATTATCATTGTACACTTGGCGGCTTAGTTGTAACACTGTGCTACAACTAACCTCGCAGCGTATTACATATTTTAAGCCTAGCTAACAGTTGCTAGGAATTGCTGACATGTTTCAAAACGGTGCTATGTTTGAGCCAACAAGACGCAATATAAAGTTAGATTTGGAAACGTACACACCCAACTCAGAAACTGAAAAAAAAAACCTATGATGAAAAAATGTACTTGCATGGTGTCAAAACACTCTTTGCCCAGTATCTTCACGAAATATATCAAAACTTTCCGCAAATTCGCGGGAGACAAAAAGAGCGGAAAGACAACCTGCTTGATGCTGACTAACGATGTAAAAGGTCCGTGTTACATTTAACCCCGTGTTAGGTTGTGCCCTGCGCTCCCCTATGTTATTCCAGATATTACAACTGGAGGTTACATTTTACATGCAGAACCACTGCTATGAGTGGATGCAATGGGTAATTCATTAGGAGGCAAATCAGACCTATTGATTGAGTATGTACTGCCATTGGGTCACGCTTGTTTATCTGATAATTCTGTCTCAGCCACATCTCTCCAGAAATGATTAATTAAACTCATTAAAAGTGTAGCAAAATACGAGGTTCAACAGATTCTCACAACAAACTTTTTTTTGCATTGCATTGGGTATTTTATCATACATGTTAAACAAAGGATGTCTTAGTGACAAAGTTCTATAAATTTATATTATTTTTTTTTTTTATAATCTTTCATTTCTTTGCAAATAATCACTTACACTTGTCTCTGGTCACTGGATTGTAATTGGTATGATAATTTGTAAAGGCAAAATAAATGTTAGTAATACTGGTAGTCTCCCCATTTTGAATCCCACTGTAAATTGCTCTATTGTAGATTATCTGTTGAATACACTACATTCATTAAAATCTGCAATGATGATATGTTAAGGTTTAGTTTGCAAAAATGTCAGTGTGTAATGCAGAATGTGCCTCAGACAGTCTACAAGGAAAGCGATGTCGATCTCCATAGAGTGGAATTAGCCTCTGTGTTGGAGGATGTAAAGTGTGTCTGCAATGATGAAAGAGGGATGAAAAAGGAGAACACATCTCCTTTGAGGAGCTCTGAGTTTCAGGCAATTATTTTCCACACTGAACACTTTAGGAATTTCGTGTGAGTAAGATTCTGACGTTTTTATTTTATTTTTTGTTCATTCGTGCATCAGCTATGTAGTGGTTTATGTAGAAAATGGCCACCATAAATGTAAGGATTTGGTCTATATGGGCACCAAATAATATTGTGAGTTTAAAGTACTTATAAATCATTTGCAAGCTATTAGTTTATAGTTAATTCATACAGTAGTTAATATAGTGTAGTCTCTACATTGGATATATATTATTAGGCTATTTATACAAATAGTGAGTTATTCATTCATTGTCACTGTAGTTGACAAATTATTATTGTTTAATTAGCTCATATGTAAAGAGATGGATAATGTTTTTATGCTTTGTTAACAACTTATTGACCATAACTAGTTCTCACTTCAGAATAGGTCGCAGAAAATGTGAAAAGGTCATTACTTAAGTGGTTTAAACCCTTAGTAGACATTAACTGCATTATTATTTTAAATGGTCCTTAAAAAATGATATAATATATACACTATATATACATTACGTCTATGAAGAGTCCTTGTAAACCACGTATGCCAACAGGTGTGTGTGCTTAATGTATTTGTAAACATTTTAAGGAACACTGAATGTGAATACCATCAATGTCCAATAAAAGTTTGTTTAAAGTTCTTAATTAATGGCATTTTTTCTATTTAACATGACCTAATCTAAAGTAAGAACTATTTACTCCTAAGAACCAATGAACAATTCCTTTAATACGAGTTAGTTAATTGTGTTCATTACTGTGAAAATTAATGGAGAACTCACTATTTGTATATAGCTAGCCTATTAATATATGAACAATGTAGAGACTACAATATATAAACTATGAATAAAATATAAACTAATAGTTTGTTCATACTTTATTACTGTATACTTAAAGTTTTACCGTTTTTGTTATTAACAGTTATATTACTTCTAATATCTCTGGAAAGTGGTTTGGTTAAGAGATATTTACATTCCACTTGGTCGAGTGAGCCAACACTATCTCACGACCAATTCGTACGAATTCGACGCATGATTAAAAATTGTCTAATTCGTACTAATTCGTACGACCTCACTCGTACTAATTTGTACGATTTGTCTAAACCCACGTGATGGTTAGGTTTAGGGGCGGGGTCAGGGGTAGGTCATTCGTACGAATTCATACGAATTGGCCAATTCGTAAAATATGTACGATTTAGCAAAATCGTATTAATTCGTACGAGTGAGGTTGTATGAATTGTTACGAATTAGCCACTTTTTAATCATTCGTCGAATTCGTACGACTTGGTCGTGAGATCGGGTTGAGTGAGCAGTCCGATGGCGGTGACTTCTTCCACTAGTTGTGCTGGGTTACAATGCAGTGGGGAAAGGAGTCGGAATCCGTTTCAACAGCCTAGAACACGAATCTCTGGGGGATACTGATCTCCTGCAGCACCAAAAGGGTCCTAAAATCTGGAACATGCAGATGAGGCCCTGAAGTACTGTAGGTGCGGAAGGTCCTTAACAATCTGGAACACACAGATGAAGGTACCTTGAAGTGAAACTCAACTCTCCTGAGCTTAACCTTGTTGTAAATGTGTCCGTATGACTTTTCCCTCTCTAGACCAGAGACTTAATCAATCCACTTTTGTCTCTCTGGTATGGAGACTCGGGACATGTTGTAATCGTTACCATCTCGCTGGACTAAGACTCTGAACATATGTTTGATAATGTCTCTTTCCTCAGATTGGAGGCTCATGGTTGTATCTGTTTTAAGATTTCCAAACATGGTTATGGGTAGATTGGATTGATCATTGTGGCCAGCCCGTTCTCATCCTTAAACGTCATATAGAACGCTAATATGCAAAAACGGCGCTATACTACGCACATGGCACCCTTTATCGTTAATATAACACGTGAACCCAAGACGTTATAAATCCTTTAGCGTGAATATGACACGCTCACCCTACCCCACACCTAAACTTAGCCCTCACAGTGCGTGTTATATTAACGATAACGGGTGCCGCGTTCATATTTAGGTCTGCTGCTCACTCGGCTGGAAAATGACTCTAGCGGCAGCGTGCGTCAAACACGTGTTCCACGACAACACTAGGCTGCCCACAGATGCGCCGGCCTAAAAATCGGCTTGATCTACTGGGATATTGGCCGATGCCGATTGTGTTAAAAAATGCCAAAAATCGACTAACCGATTAATCGTTCTACCTCTAATCTGATCGATTGTGGTCTAGATTCGATTCAATCAAAAGGTAGCAAACATTTCTCCACCACTGCAGTGAGCGAGGGGCCCTGCCATAAAACCGAGCCCTGGAATTTGCATTATATGATTCTTGTCATAGTCTTTCCAAGCTAGCAGTCTGGATAGAAGATGCAGCCCCTTCATTTAGGAGAGAGGTTAAAAAATCACTGCTGTCTGAGAGAGTTTTCTTGCCAGTGACATTTCTAGGCTAAAGGAACATTGGAAAAATGAGTGATTGAAAGTCTTAAGAAGCGCCTACGCTGATGACTCACAGTAAATCGATGTTACCAACAAAGAGACAGTTTTTTTTCTTTTCAGAGACTT